GGAGAGAGCCAGCTCCGCTGCGGTGAGCCGGGGCCGGGGCGGGGGCGGCGGCGGCGGGCAGGGGCACGGGCTCACCCGGCCGGCTGTGTCCCCCACAGCGGGCACCCCAGAGCTGCACACCCACCACCTCATCCCGTCGCTGCGCCAGGTGGTTTTCCAGGGCGACCGGCTGCCCTTCCAGTGCACCGCCACCTACCTGGACAACAGCACCCAGATCCGATGGTACCACAACCGCGAGCCAGTGGAGGAGGACGAGCGGATGGGCGTCATCGTGGAGGAGAGCCTCATCCATGACTGCACCTTCATCACCAGGTCAGGGATGGGAACAGGGATGGAGATGGAATGGAGATGGGATGGGAACAGGGATAGAGATGGAGATGGAGATGGGGACAGTGATGGAGGTGGGATGGGGACAGGGATAGAGATGGAGATGGGGACAGTGATGGAGGTGGGATGGGGACAGGGATGGAGGTGGGATGGGGACAGGGATGGAGATGAGATGGGGATGGTGATAGAAATGGGATGGGGATGGGGATGGACACTCGTGGCTGCAGGGCTTGCTGGTTTGCGGTTACCAAGTGCCATGGGTGGGACGCCAAGTGTGGGCACCTCCTGTGCTTCATGGTGTGTGTCCCCATGCCCCCAAGCTTGGGGGACTGCTGCTGCGGGTTCGCTGTGGGGCAGACCCGCCGTGCCAGCCCATCCCCTCTGCTCGCAGCGAGCTCATCCTCTCCAACATCCACGTCTCCGCCAACGGCGAGTGGGAGTGCGCTGTCTCCACCTCCCAGGGCAATGTCAGCAAGAAGGTGGAGATTGTGGTGCTGGAGACCTCCGCGTCCTACTGCCCTGCCGAGCGGGTCACCAACAATCGTGGGGACTTCAGGTAGGGACCGGTGGTGGCGTGGCCATGGGGTGGGTGTCTCAGCGGGCCGGGGGATGCACGTGGTGCATGCCACATACAGCATGAGCGGTGCGTGCCAGGGTGGGGGGCTCGCCACAGGTGACCAGGCGTCTGGTAGCGATTAGCGGCCGCGGGGAGCTCGAGCGCCTTTGAAGGGCTTCCCGTGCTGGCGGCGCAGCCCGGCTCCAGCAGCAGAGGTGTTGGAATTTCTCTGGCACGAGACGAAAGGCTCCGGGCGCCCACCGTAACCCCGGGGGGCCATTATGGAATATAAATTACTGGTACAGTCAATGTGGCTTAAATTAGCGGTGCCCCCCCCTCGCCCGCTGCTTCCCTCTGTGCTGTGCCGAGCCGAGTGGGATACGGGACTGGGTGGGGGGTCAGCTTTCTGGGGAGTATCACCCTCAGTCCCCCCAGAGCCAAGGGGAGGCAGGGGCTTGTTGGGATTTGGGGGCTGCGGTGCCCGCAGGCCGTGGCGTGGTGCTGGGCACGGTCCACACGGGGGGGGGGGGTGGGGTTTGGGGGGCGGCGGTGCCCGCAGGCGGTGGCGTGGTGCTGGGCACGGTCCACACGGGGGGAGAG